ACGGCGGCACATAACACGACAACGTATAATACAAGAAAGACCGCTAGAACCGACGCGACCGCTCCAAAAAGCACCCAACAAACACTTGGAGAAACAAAAAGTAAAAACAAAAAAAAAAAAAAAAATTGAAACAAGCAAAAACAAACAAAACAAAAACTTTCGTCACTTCCGGTTTGTGTTGTTTTGCTTGTTTTTGCTTTTTTTCTCTCAGCCAATAGGCGTTGCAACTTTCCTGCGGCGAAACGCTCGTGTTATATCATCTCTAGCCATCATAGTAATATGGCGGACAGCGCAATGGCGGCAGGCTGCCATAAAAATAGCCATAGATCTAGTACACTGTACCGTGGGTGACATTTCGTGCTTGATTGAAGTTGTTCGACGAAGCAGATTCTTGAAACCCGGCGTGAACGGTAGCCTCATCTTTGAGGACCCGACAAAAGTTCAACGAAAGCGCAGCACCGGGGGAAAGCAGCGCAGCTCGCATCAAAAGCAGACTCCGTATTGTTAAAACAGAAGTTCGGGCGAGTTGGTAGTTCATGACGCACGAGGACACAGCGCACCCGTAACAAACACTAGGACAACGTTCACAGTCACACCAAAAGAAAGGGACACTTACACAGCGCTGACTTCAACTCTTTGTATATTCCCGCCTTTTCTCTTCTTTCACGTCTAATGCATAACCTAGGCCTCATCTTTTTCTTTCTTTGCTAAAGGTTAACTTTACCGCCTTTCAGAATGCGGCAGGCCTATCCCAAAGCAAATTCTTCAACTCAATTGACATCTATCTAAAATCTACCTTCGCCACCTGGGATGGACACACGTATCTACAGAAGAGAGGGGTGTGTATTGGTTCGTGCATTGCACCTATCCTCAGTGACCTGTATCTCGCACACCTTGACAGGAATTTAAACTAAACTCTCGACGGGTCAAAAGTTAAAAAAGTATTCAGATATGTCGACGATTACTTAATTGTCCTCGCCACCGATGACCAAAATCTGACAGCCTTGGTACCAGACATTCTCAACAGTTTCAAAAGGTGCATGAACCCATTGGAGATTACCCACGAACTTCCAAGTGAAAGAAGTTTGAGATTCTTAGATCTTCGTCTTTGTACGTCACCGTACCATACGTGCTGGACTTACGAGCCAAGGGGAAAGAAGCCACTTCTGCCATTCAACTCAGCGCATTCAAAACTAGTAAAGAGAGGCATAGCGCGGTTGTGCCTTAAGAACTCTCTTACGAAGTCATGCTTCCATTCCATCCAAAGGAGCTTTGATGGGCAAGTGTCGAGATTAAAACGCGCTGGATATCCACCATCCTTGTTAACATCAGTGGCGGAAGGACTTTTCAGAGAATTTAAGCATGATGAGCGATTTAAGAAAAGTCATCGGGACAGGGCAAAAAGACCAGTGATTGTGCCATATCTCCATCATTTTTCTCATGGCCTCAAGAAAATAGCAAACAAAGTAGGCACGGACGTTATTTTCTCCGCTCCGAACAAGCTCTACAGCCTGTGCAAGAGGGTAAACACTCCTTCAAGAACACCGACGTCCTGCACAACGAATCACAGAAATAAGTTCGTTCGATGCACTGAAAATGTGGTCTACTCCTTCCCCCTGTCCTGTGGAAGAACATATATCGGACAGACGGGTAGGTGTTTAAACCACCGCCTTAGAGAACACAACTTGTCCACCATCAACAAGAACTCTGGAGATGTTGACATACACCTTCGGGACTGTGGGTGCACAGCGGAACTTGACAAGTGTGTGGTGTTGGCAAGGAGCCGAGACCAGCTCACAAGGGAAATAATAGAAGCGGAGAACATTGCCAGGCAAAACGGCAGGTGTATTAGTAATCCATCTATAGCGCTGTCACAAAAAGAGCTGGATTACTTAGCTTTGCATCATTGATCTACAGTAATTAATTTTTCATTTAATTTTTTCATTTAATTTTTAATTTTCAATTTCTGGCTTAAAAAATTTTTACAGTTAACCTTTAGCAAAGAAAGAAAAAGATGAGGCCTAGGTTATGCATTAGACGTGAAAGAAGAGAAAAGGCGGGAATATACAAAGAGTTGAAGTCAGCGCTGTGTAAGTGTCCCTTTCTTTTGGTGTGACTGTGAACGTTGTCCTAGTGTTTGTTACGGGTGCGCTGTGTCCTCGTGCGTCAGACTCCGTACCGTCGTCTGCTTTCGATGCTTCTTTTGATGCGACTTTCGATACGTGCTGTGCTGCTTTTCTTCCGGTGCTGCGATTTCGTGAAACTTTTACCAGGTCCTCAAAAACCGGACTGCTGTTCACGCCGGGTTTCAAAAACATGTTTCGTCAAATAATTTTAACCCTTTACGCCTTTTATCTATCATCTTGATAACGTTTCTTTAGAATGTGTGACCTCATATAGACGCTTTGCAGCAGCTGTGCATGGACGCCGCCATAACTGACCTTCAGTTTTTGTTTCCTCTTATTTTGTTTATTTCACTTCATCATTACCATAGCAGGCCAGGTTATTGTCATATTAGATTCAACTGTGTCCTTTTCTAAAGCATCGTCCTTTGTAGAGAATCGTCAACTACCGTTTCAGTTGCTCGGCATCTCGGTAAGACAAGAGAAGGTCGGCTATGGCGGCTGCAATTTGGCGCGTGTGTAAAGCGTCTATAAATACCTCGGTGTGCATATTACTTCTAACCTCTCCTGGCATATTCATATTAACCACATCATTGCTAATGCCAATTCTATGTTAGGCTACCTAAAACGTAACTTTTCTCTAACACCAGTTTCTCTCAAACAAATATTATTCAAATCTTTGGTTCGCTCAAAATTAGAGTATGCAGCTTCAATCTGGGATCCTGGTCAGACCATAGAGTTATTATAATGTACGCTAGAGGTTCAACTGGCGCTAGTGTCTATGCGACTTCCGTGACGCAAATTGAAGCAGACAGCAACCAGTCTACTTTTGCGGTGCTCCTGTGCATTCCTATGGGAAAACGCGCGTGCATTTTCTCTCTTCGCTAGAAAATAACACGGAGCACTTTGGTTATTTCGGTCGTATTGAATAGTATGTTTCTTAATTAACATTGTAAAAGTGTAATTGCTTTAGTTAACGCATTTTTCTTCATCAGCGAGCGATGTTTAACTTCGCTACATTTCAGTCCCAAACGTGTGTTCCGCAGCAGATGTGCAAGAACAAACGACGATTCAAAGCAAAATTACAATCGAAAGGAATATGGAGTGCGTTCAAGGCTTGCCAGCATTCCGGTGACCCTTATATATATTGATAATGCCAGTCCTGTCACTATATGAAAATGACCCCATCGTGCATGAGCGGATAGAAACATTCAAAACTTAGATAATAGAGCGAGTGGGCTATGAAACTTGTCTCTTGGTATTGTTTTTTTCTGCCAGGCAGCTTTTATCGGGCAGTTGTTCTCAAAGATTTCGAGCGTGCGGGTGATATTTTGAACGTAGAACGAACATCTTCGCACAAAGCAGAAAGAATAAAGCGGTACTTGCTTATTTAAAATCGGAATATATTACGTGACCTTCAAATTATTTTGATCGTACATGCGCTGGTAGTTACTGATCCAGTGTTACTGCGTAGTTCTTGCCGTCCGTCTCCCTTTATTTCCAGATGTTCTTCGTTCGTTTGGCACGTATATCCCTCATGCTGAAAAGCGCCGACGTCGTGTTCGCGCTAACCGTGTCTGACAGTGCACATAAATACACGTACAAAGCCGTTTGAGCACAGTTTTTAATCCGACCAATTTGAAAGAAAAACGCCGTAACTAACCAATTATTTCGTCGGCCTGACTGAGAAATGTTCCAAGCTACTTAGTACGTAGGAATTACTCGGGATATTTGCTCTTGTGATCGAGCGCAGGGAGAAAATGCACTCACTTTTTCCCATAGAAATGCGTTACCGGAAGTCAATTTTCGACTGGTTGCTGTCTGCTTCAATTTGCGTCAGCACACTAGCGCCACTTGAACCTCTAGCGTATATTATAATAACTCTATGGGTCAGACGACGCTCACTTCTCATCTCGAGTCAGTTCAGAACCGCGGCGCTCGTTTCATACTTAAAGGGACACTGACACCCCCCCCCCCCAAAAAAAAAAATTTTATTTTTTGCCAGGCGCTTCATTATGGTGTCGGAGGACTACCCAATTAATATTTTGCAACAGAGTAGCGTATTTTTTTAATAAAGCCAAAAGACGCAACTCCTCGAAACCGAAACCGAAACCCGACGGAGGTCGGACAAGTGGAGAGAAGAGAGTGAGTGGCGGAAGTCACGTGGCTACACCCTACCGTGCGTTTTTTTTTTTTTTCTCCTCTCCGGTAGCAGACGACAGGACATGCGGCGTGCGATGGGGCGTGCGGGAACTGCTCGCCGTGCGATTTTTTTGCAGTTATGTTTGTTCCGCTCGTTGTTCTGTACTCCAAGATGAGTTGTTTTGTACATTGAGGAGTTGGACATGAGTAGTAAGTGCCCGTGGTGAATTTCCATGATCGGCTCCGAAAAGAATACACCCAAGATGTTGCGTGAAGAGCTGGCTCACATTTCCTGAATCCGAAAAAAAGTGGCATTGTGCGACAGAGTTTCCGAAAGATCAACGGGATCGGGACCAACGGCTGGCTGCAATTCCTGTAGAACATATACGGGCACCTCGGAAAGCGGACGTTACCTGATTTATATGCTCCTTGCATTTTGTGGAAAGTGATTACATTGAGCTCGCAGGTGTCAAAACGGAAATCCCGTACCATTTAAATCAGCGAAGTATCGTCCACAACATTAGTTTGTTATTTTTTTGTTTGTTTCTTCAGTGGTGATTGTAAATATATATATATATATACATGTAAACATCGAAAAATGTTTGAAGAAAAAAAAATTAAGTTCCACGGGGGATCGAACCCGGTCCTACCGCGTGTAAACCGGACGTCTTTCCCACTGAGCTACTGGCGCATCCTTTTTTTTTTTTTTCCAAACGAAACAAGTTTATTTACAAGTTATTTACAGACATCCTTGCAGTAGGTTCCGCAAACATTATACAAGGCCACATTGAAAAGTAATTCAGAAAACGACAGGTGGATAGCTCGTATAGAAACGTTATGCAAACTGTAGAGACGAGCGTGAAAAACAAAGACTCTGAAAAGAGAGAAAAAAAAAGAAAGATACACTATCGCCGTGCGGTAAGTAGCTGTCACACAAACCTGACCAGACTTGGCGGAAACGATTGAGAGGAAACGCAAACGATACAGTATGAGACCGCGTGAGCAATTATGCAATCTGTACGAAAAAAAAAAATCAATAAATCGAAGAAAAAAGGACGCGAAGTTCCAAGGGGGAGAAGAGCCACGGTCCACTTTCGCGCACCGCACACCTCAGCCAACGCCAACGCGCCTACAGTTCACAGGAACTCGCCAGTTTCTCACGCCTGACGTACGTCGTTGTACGCAGCGGCGACGACCTTCCTCGAGTTGTCGCTTGATGCACTCCCAATCACCCGCGTTCGGCTGCCGCGACGTCACCGATAGCACCCACCCCAACGTGGACACGAAGTAGCTCCAGGTTGGACGCGCGTCGAGATGGCATTGCACCATTGCGGTACGCGACTGCCAGATGGCGTGCAGGCCCAGCAGCATCATCATGTGCGCCACCTCCGTCTTATCCCTCTCCTCGAGTTGCAGATACTTGAAGACGCTCCACTCCACTTCGAAGGAGTCCCTGAGCTCAAACGTCGTCCTCATCTCGTCCCAGAAGAGGTAGGCATTGCTACACTCGACTAGGACGTGCTGGATGGTCTCGGGCGCCCCGCAAAGGTCGCAGTTTAGGGACCACGGCACGAAGAACCCCTTTTGATGGAGCCAGGTTTTAACTGGAAGGACCTCCATGTGCATCCGGACGAAGAAGTCCCTTGTCACCACAGGGATGGGAAGGATTCGCACGAGTTTGTAAAGTCGCGTCGCGTCGTCGGGCGTCGGTGGTTGTCTGTAGAGCGGTGGCGGGAAGGATGCGGAAACGGCATCCCAGTACAGCCGCCTCTTTCCGACGGTCGCCAGGTATTCCCAGGAGAATTGGGCCTGCAGAAACTCGATGGAGCTGGCGATTTCCTTGTAGAACCTCAGGGCGGCTCCCTTGGTCGTGCGGCCACTCGTGCTCACCATCCAATTCCCGAGATGTGGGAATCCAAGGTGGTGCAGCACGGCGATGAAGGTCGGGTCCTTTGCATCCCGGAAAAGCAGAAAACGCTGCACGTGCAGCTTGAGCACGATGTTAACGAGGCCCAGACCTCCGCTCTCTTGGTGCAGAAAGAGGTTGTTCCTTCGTGTGCTTTCCATGGCGGACTTCCACACGAACATGGCCCAGTTCCGGTGTACTTTTCCGGCCTGGCTGCCCGGGCAGCAGACGGCCTGAGCCCTGTACAGCACGGCTGGGTAGCTGACTGTGTTGCACACGTGAGCCCGGCTGAAGAAAGACAAGTTTCTGCACCGCCAGGGCGACAGCTTGGCGGCAACGAAGTTGGTGGTCGGTCTCCACACTGCGGCCATTGATCGCTGCGGGTCCACCGGCACACCCAGGTAGCCGTCGAGCGAAGTGCTCCATCCTATTGGCCCCGAGCGGGACCGATTGGAGCGCTGCGATCGCTCGACCGTGACGTAGGATAGGGGATCACGTGATAAGGACGGTTATTCTGCCTTGCTTTGGTCGGGGTATTCGGGAACCGTTCGGTCGTTATTTTCGTGTTTTTTTTCTGTGTTTGGAGCCCGATTAGTTCACGCGTGGATCGGCTTCGGCAGCCGTCGTGCTCAGGAAGCAATGGTGAAGTACTGTTCGGTGCCGCAATGCCGTAGTTACGCGACCGACCCGAACGTCAGCTTTCACATCTACCCCAAGGAGAAGCAGCTGCGCACGGAGTGGCTTGTGAAGTTGAGAATGGGCAAATTAAACTCCAAGAGCTCGACAGTGTGCAGCAAGCACTTTAGAGATGAAGACTTCGTGTATGCGGTTGGAGCGAAGATGTTTGGTAAGTGTTCTCCAGTTATTTCAGTGAACCTCTACAAAAAGGGGTGGATTTTGTTGGACCCGTCGGAGATCGACGCTCTTGCATTTTGCACGTAAGCTGCAAACACGAAACGTTTTCGCAGAGAGTGATATCACGCATGCGTGTATCTAAGTGCTTAACACTCGTTAGTTTTCCTGGGCCACGACGCCCCCAAGTCACGCGAGCGACCTGAGCAAAGCTGGCGATCAGACGGCCGAGATCGACGCATGCTCACGCTCCGTCGTGATTGATTTTCTTCCTTTTTTTCTCGTCAGGCTGGAAAAAAAGGACTTTCGCCCCAGGAACCGTGCCGTCCCAGAATCTGCCTTTACGGCCACTGGACAAGCCCCCGAAGCTGCGACAGCCCCTGAAGCCGCGGGCAGGTGTGGACACATGCAAGCCTCGCCGTGAGTGCTCTCGTTTGTAGGGAACATTCGTGGTATCAGTGGATGCTGTGTGATAAATAACCAGATTTTAAATATTTGGCTCTTGCATACCTGTTTACTTTTTTTTTTTTTTTTCAGTCATTAAAAGATAAAGCATGGTCGTGTCTATTTCAGTTCCAGTGCTGAGCTGTAATTTTAGGTTTTTCTGTTTTGTTTTTTTTCCACTTGGATTTAACAGCCAAGGATGACCTGCCAGCAGCAGTTACATTGGCAGGGCTGAACTGCGAAGAAGCCAGCACCAGTGAGGGTTTGATTGAGCAGGAACTACCCAACCAGGATGCCGATGCTGCAGATCCCATTGATGAGGAGAAAGCAAACATTGCGTGCCCAGTGTGAGTCATGTCAGCCTAATTCTAGTTGATACCAGAGTTGTTTTTTAATGTTTCAGGTCTTCAGGCTGAACTTCACACCTTGAAGAAAGATGTCGGATGTCAAGCGGACTCACTACAGCTTGAGAAAGATCAAGTGCTCGGGATAGCACGGGTTAAGAATGAACCGGCCCTCGTATCACTGACCTGCATACCCTGTTTTCAGCTATTCTATAACATCTGCGACCTGTATGGGGAATCTCGCTTATTAAGCCAGAAGAAGGATTTCAGCATCAGTAACGAGGACGCAGTACTGCTAACAATGATGAAGCTGTACCACAATCTGACGTTTTCCCTTCTTGGGGTACTGTTTGGGGTCCATAGGACGACAGCTTCCAACATATTTAGAGCGTCGGTACCGGTCCTAGCAGCAGTGCTCAGGCACGCCGTTTTCTGGCCTGAAAAGGAGGCTGTGCTCCAGTCCCTGACCAAGTACTTTAACAAGTACAGGGACTGTCGCATGGTGCTCGACTGTATAGAGATTCCTCTGCAAAAGCCGAAAAACCTGGAGTCTCAACTACTTACCTACAGTCACTACAAGGGAACCCACACTGCAAAGGTGCTTGTGTGCGAGACGCCAGGTGGCTTAATTAGCTATGTGAGTCCGGCATTCTGTGGCAGATCCTCCGACACGCATATCACAAAGGAGAGTGGGCTTCTAGAGAAATGCCTGCCCTTCATCGACAGCGTAATGGTCGACAAGGGGTTCTTAATTGACGAGCTGTGTTGCGAACACAAGGTAAAGTTGGTTCGTCCACCATTTCTCCGTAAAAACACACAGCTGAGCAAATCTGACGCCGCAAACAACCAAAGCATCGCAGCCGCACGCGTCCATGTCGAGCGTGCAATTCAGCGAATGAAGTTGTTTCGAATTCTTCGGGACAATTTCAGCGCAGACCTCCTTCCGCAAATCGATGATGTTGTCGTCATCATTGCAGGTCTCGTGAACCTCTCAAAGCCCTTGTTCAGCAACGACAAATTTTTAACTGGTTAATACATTGCTGAACAGGACACGATAGCGTTTTCTTTTAGCTGCCTGTTTAAACGTTGACGTTAATCTGTAGATCACTTAATGGGCATTTCAAACATGGCATCCCACTGTCATTTGTGAAGAATGAGTTCTCTTTAGCAGGGTAGTAAGAAAAACGTATTGTTCGGTCACAGACTGTCACTAGCCAAGAATTTCCTTGTTAACTTCGTTCAAGGTATTCTTCCCCTGTGCCGCATTGGAGAAAGGTTGTCAAAGCACAGAAATGAGTCAATATTTCTAGCTCGTGCATTTAGACACACAAGCCATTCAACAGCCTTGTAAGATATGTTTCTATGCCAATTTAATTTTGCAAATTTGATGTCATGCATACTGTAATAAATGAATGTATTAGCACGTGCTTGTTGCCATCCTTTTGTTTATTTGCTGGCTTCAAACGCATATCTAATGTTACCACACTGGCCCTTTTTGGGGCCCACTACCACGAGTATGAACATGCCAGATTCTTCAGCGTGTCAAAAATGTACTTGTTTACAGGGTGTGCACTGCAGCCGAACATTTAAGGAAATGTGCAGCATCAAATGGCACGGTAAGTGCCCTCCAGTCCTCTGGACTCTTGTAGACGAAAAAGTCACACTGGAATATTCGTTAACCCCATCTGGACCTGAACCTGTGTGTAGAATAGGGGCGTCGGCTTGTCCTTTGAGAAAGCTTTCTTCACCGTGTTGAGGCACTTGATTTCTAAAATACGCTTGTCACCCTTGCAGCAGGCGCAGGTGAAAGTAACGAGCCCATCCACGCTACAGCCCATCACAGGAAACTCGTTCCAAATCAATAGGCCCCTGTCTTCCACAGTGCATGCGTGGCCCCTCGACTTCACAACCGAGACATACTTGTCCCGCGCAGTCCCTTCGATGCTCAGCCCGCGCTGCATTGCTGCAGACTGGTATGTGCTCGTGCGGAGGACCGCCTTCAACAAAGGCCCCATGTTGTGCGGCATTTGCTCTGTCTCGCACTTCGCTGCCCTTGTTTTGAAGGAATGGCAGACTGTACTGGTTGCCATGCCTATCCTCTGGCGCAACCAGTCCTCAGATAGCGACTGTTCCCTCGTCCTCTCCTCGATTACCGCACAGACGTCTGCAGAGAAGGTGGCCCTCATCTCATCCACAAAAGCATCGAAGCTGGGAGCAGCAGTTGTGGCAATCAGCCGCGTAAGTGTGGGCAGTCCGGGGACAGGGGGCTCCTCAGCTGCGGTGGGGGCGGTTGATATCTCTGCAAACATGCAAATAAACAGGGAATATTGACACATTACACACTATAAAGGTGATAGGAAAGAAATTGGTTGTTGGAATGCAAAAATGAAATGCTAGGGAACAGTTCTATGTACAAAACACAAGAGGACTAATTATGACCAGTCTCATTGCTGCCATAGTGAATACGTTGAATAAGCCTGGTACTAATATGTGAGCATACGAGGGCCATTAAAAAAGTATCAGACCTAAATTTGTTCTGCATAAACAAATGAAGTGCAGACAGCATCTTCTGGTTAGAGAAGTGGAGGGAACATTAATGTGTATGTGTGAATTTTATCAGGCCCGATGAAAATGTGAGTTGTTTTCAGTCAGCCTCCGAGTGAGGAATTGTAGTCGCTGCTCGTCATTTTTTTCCGTAACTCGAATAGGGTTCCTTTCAGCGGCATTTTCATCGTAGGGAAGAGCCAGAAATCCCATGGAGCCATGTTGAGACAGTAGGAAGCCTGTTTTGGCCAAAAAAACTCAGACGCAAGGAATGAGCTGGTGCACTGTCATGATGCAGCTCCATCGTGAGAAACTTCGGCACGATTGCACGAAGTTCGTTAATCACCAGATTATTTTGGCTTGTTGAAGGCCTCTCCCCACTGACATGCAGTCATCTTTGATCTGGTTGTACCAAACATTAATGTTTTTTTTAATGCCCATGGCATCGTCCTCGAACTCCTGCTGAATATTTCGAATTGTTTCCACTTGAGTGTGAGCAAGCTTGAATCAAAATTTGATGCAATACCTCTCACTCAAACTACTTTGTCATGTTGCAAAAAAACAAAAACAAAAAAAAACGACGAGCACTAACTACACGTCATCACTCCGAGGCTAACTGCCTGCGACTCACATTTTTTGCGGGCCTGATAAAATTCTTGCATGCGCATTAACGTTCCCTCTGCCTCCTCACCAGATAAAGCTATCCGCGCTTCATTTGTTTCCACGGTACTAATTCAGGTAGGATACTTCTTAAACAGACCTTGTACACCAATTAAGCATGTAGTGGCATACTTAATTGGTGATGGTGCTCCAGGCGCACTTTCAGTTTAAGTTGTGGGCCAGGAAAGTCACCTGCACCTGGCAATCTGGTTTTTTGTAGAAATCTGCCTATGGCAGGATGACAGTGCACATTGCTCAACTAGACTTAAGCCTCAGCCACTTTAAACATATTGTACTAAGGAACATTTCTGGTTGCTCTTCTGGTTCGCTTGACATTTTTTTCTCTCCTTTGCAGTCAACTGTTACGACACATTGGATATTAGTGCTTCCACTCAAATCTAATATATATATGGCGCAATCGCCATGCCTTCAGAACCTAGTACCTGTACTTTTTATTATCAACTCTAACTTTTGTGAGTCAGGCATGCACAATTCAGAATGTAAACATATTAAGGTTGGAGTCCCCATCCGTTGAGCGTACTGCTCACAGCTGTGTCAATTTATCACAGCCACCGATCTAAGTGGTGTACATTTATCTAGGGTTTCAATGTACACAAAAATTCTACACAGATAAATATACACAGGAGTGTACATTTATCTTGGGTTTTTTCTGCTGTGATCCAAACATCCTGCATGGTCTGTACTGAGCACAGCTTCTATCCCGTGTGAGGCATGCCACCACTGATGTTCGTCGGGTACTGAGAGAATCGATTCATAAAGTCTCTTAAGAATGACCAACAAACAGCCAAAACCAACTGTAGCAAAGACAATGGGAAAGAGAAAGAGGAAATGCAGTTCATGAACCAACCAAGAGGACGGATTTCTTCGGTGTGCCGCAGGGCAGCTGACCTATAAGTCAGTCCCTCCAGTAGTCGTCCCAGGATATCGCCTTTAGGAAGCAGGACCGGATCCCCTTCAACCTGAAAATATAAAGCGAAATTTCGCCAAAATAAAGCAAACGTAAAACAATGGATTGCAAGCGTCCCGGCTAGTGCCTCTTTCATACAACCATGTTCGCATGCATGTAAGGGCAACATTGGCAGGCTTCCAGTTGCGCGTGCTTCGTTGTGCAAGCGGAGACAATGGCTGTTCGGTCGAAACCGAAATCATGTCACTCCGTTCTGTCGCCTACTGGATCCCAAAATTGTATGCAAAATGCAACTGCCTAGCATACGACAAAAAAAAAAAAAAAAACAGTCCAGCGGTGTGCGCTTGACAGGCCGGCAGGCGAGGTACAAGCTAAACACCCAGAAAAAAAGAACCTGAGTGCATCGATGTATGGCATCGCGAGCCAGGGTCAAAAAGTTTTTGGAGCGCTTTGTCCAACGACTGAACTCGTGGCAAACAAAAACACTCTGCGGGTTCAGCTTGCAGACATTGCCTCCTTTGCTCACTTCTCGTCACTAACTCTTTCGCGGCAGATTTTTTACGTATCGGGGTCCCTCTCGAAAAAGAAAGCCCACCGAGAGAAACCTATGTAATCACTACTTCGACAAGCAGTTTTTGAAAAGGGGGATTTTGGTAGTGCCATATGATTTAAACGAGAGCACGAATGTTGATGAACACGCAGCAGTAACTACGTTTCAGTTTAGAAAGCGGCATATTTGTAGCGACGTAGGGACGGCAACCCGTTACATTGCACGACCACGGTGACTGTGGTTGTGCTAGTGCTTCAGCTCACAAAGCAACTCTTGCCGCGCAAAAAAAAAAAAAAAAATGGTTTTGTTCCACAGCATGACGGCATGGCCGGCACACTAACGTCAGAGCATCCGTACACGCCCGTGTGTATCGTTGAAAAAAATTGAAAAAGGCGCGAGACGAGACCACCGGACAAGAGCGCCAAGATTACATGAGAGCGCAAAACCTGAGACGGCGGGAAAAGCCATGCAAGGGGTGGGGGTGATCGGACGGATGATTGATGCGGGGTACTTAGTGTTGGGCGGTTTCTTGCGCCACCTAGGTCACGCATGCTCAATTACGGTTCTCAGTTTAGTCTCGTTTTTGAAAGGCGACCAAAACTGGTGCTTTGGCACAGGCTTGGTGTAGACTACCCATATTTTGGCAAATGTAGCAGGACGTAGCAGGGTTAGCCCCTTGGCACAGTTTCGCACAACTGGCCCAGCATACACATCACTGTCTTCATTTGATTTGCTAACTCAGACTGACGCAACATATGCACTACATCATTAGTGAAAATCCCACAAGGTCACGTAACGCACACAAGAAAATGAAGGAGCATCCTGTGTGCTCTCGGCGTACCTATGCCGTGACACACTGTTGGTCAAGTTCCGTTAGCACAGGTCAGGGCAGAAGAAGCGTTTATATGTGGGTCTTGTACAGCCCTTTCCCGTGATTTCATTTGGCGCTGGCGGAGGGAGCTTTATGGTATGCACAAGGTCTACTAAAAGCGCTGTGCATAAATAGAAGTTTCATAGCTCACTTTTTCAAGGCCCGGGAGGTTGACGATCTTCCTCGGAGCATACTTCTCCCCGACCGCTCTCTTCTGCCCCTTCCCCCACTTTTGTGGCAAGTCTGTGGACGCCAGTACGTTGAAGTTCCTCTTGGCGTTGATATGTAGCAACATTGCCACAACGTGCTTACACTTGTAGTTCCTGCAAAATGGCAATGTTCTTAGCTTGCAATTAAACAGCATATGCAATATCAGTCATAAAATGTGAACAGTCTCACCCTCTAGCAGTACCTTTCTCATGCAACTTCAATATTATTTGAATGAGATTAAAAGTGCATGTACAAGTTGGCAGTATGCAATGCCAGTAGAGCTGAGTGTTAATAGACTTGAAAGAGTAATCTACAGAGAATAGCAAGACATAAAATTTCACCGACTATTTTAACGTGAAAATCACTCGCAGCTTAGTGGTATCTAAGCAACCAGC